CTCCTTACTGCATGTAATTGTTGCTGCTGTTGTTGTTATGTGCCACGGAGTCACCTTCACGATTATTCTGAAACCTGCCCTACTGTGAGCCAATCTCACTATCTCTGACATACCTAACAGCATTATCCCAGTGACTGTGACAATATATCTTATCCACTTGTGCTGTCCCTCCACCATTCAAAGCATGATGTCCTTCTCCAAGGACTGGTCCCTCCTGGCAACATGCCCAAAAGTATGCGAGAGAGAGCTTCAAAATCCTCACCTCTAAGGAGCAACTTGGTTTCAGCCTTTCCAGGACAAAACTGTTTATTCTCTTGCAGTATGGAATATTCAACACTCTTCTCCAGCATCAAAACTGAAAAGCATAGATACTTCTGTCATTCTTAGTAATTGCTCAACTCTCTGATGTATAGCATGCAAGACTATGGCCTGGATCAGGTGCACCTTAGTCTCCAGACTGACATAATTATCCTTTAGCTCTCTAGAGAGGCCCCTGACAGCAGATTTTTCCCAATGCAATTTGTCTTTTGGTTTTCTGACTGCTGGTGCCCAGAGTGTTGATTGTGGAACCAAACAAGCTAAAATTGTTAACAATCTCAATCTCTTCTCCATCTATCATGGTGCTGCCAATTGGTCCAGAAGTGAGAAAAAGATTCTTCTTGATGTTGAGCTTCAATCCACACTGAAGACGACAGTCTTCGACCTCCTGCAGCAAACACTTCAGACTCTCCTGATTTTCGGCAAGCAAGATTGTGTCATCTGCATAATGCAGGTTTTTGTTGAATCTTCCTCCAATCCTAATGCCACATTTCTCCTTTTAAAGTCTAAGCTCCTGAATTATCTGTTCTGCATATAAATTGAAAAGGTATGGAGATAAGACACATCCCTGATGTACTCCTGTCCCAATTTTGAACTATGGGGTCTTTCCCTGCTCTGTTCTGATGACTGCATCCTGGTCTAGGTATAGGTTCCACACGAGCACAAACAGGTGTTCTGGGGTTCCCATTCTTGCCACGGTTAGTCACACTTAGTTGTGGTCAACATAGTGAGATACCTTCACGTAGTCAATGAAACACAAGATAGTCAGTCATTCCTCTGGACTCTCTGCTCTCAGCCAAGACCCATCTGATATTGGCTATGATGTCTCTAGTGTCCCAGCCTCTTCTAAACCCAGCTTAATAACATGGTATGAGGGATGTTGTTGTTATTATCATCCACTAGACTTTGACTCATAGTGACCCTATGAACAATAGATCTGAGCGTTGCCATTTCCTGTGCCATCCTCTGTCCTGCTCAAGTCCATTGTGGTCGTCACTGTGTCAGTCCATCTTGCTGAGGGTCTTTCTCTCGTTTGTTTACCATCTATTTTCCCCAGTATGATCTCGCTCTCTTTCTAAAGACTGATTCCCCTAAAAAGACGCCCAATGTGAATGAGATGGAGTTTCATCATCTTTGCCCGTAAGGAGCATTCTGATTACATCTCCTTGAAGACAGCTTTGCTTGTTCTTCATCCTACTTCTCTTTTTGAATGTCAGAAATTATAACAGGGCCAAAATCTCTTTGGGGATCTCAATTTTTATTTATTCTCTTTGGTGACATCGGATTCTTCACTTTCAATATTAATAACTGAAATAGCTAAGAAGGGATGGCTCAGATCTCCTGATTATTTTTTATGTTCTACATTATATAATTAACTGTTTTAAAAATCTATTTTATTTGAGTGAAACTTTATAAATCTCATTGGATTTTTTCCCCCCGATGATCATTCATAGGCAAGGATTACCATTATTTTAAGCAATTAACTTATTACAATGTCTGAACGTACTCTTATTGTATATCCCATTCCCTATATCCATCTTCTCTGTTTACTAATGTTTCCCTTTTCTTCCTCCCTTGTTGTTGTGTTGTTGTTAAATGTTGTCAAGTCATAGACAACTCATAGTGACCCTATGAAAAAAAGAACTGAACACTTGTATGTTTTCATTGTTTCTCCAAGTTCATAGAGTTTCCAGAGGCAGAAACAGCAACATATCCATCTTCTCTGTTTATGTTTCCATTTCCTTCCTCCGTTACCCTTAGCTAATCCATAGTGTATGGCCTGTTCCGCATAGTTGACTGTAATAAGAAAATGTTGCATATTTACCTTTATTTTGCCTACTCCAATAGAGGAATTATCTATCCATTCTTTTCCTAGACTCTTTTCCCCACCCCAGTCATCCTGTTTTTATAACAGTGGTATTACATGAGATGTGTGTGTGCATTTCCAAGTTATTTCACTCACTATTATGTCCTCCACGCACATCTATGCTGTGTAGTGTTTTACTAGTTGAGTATTTTTCAGTGCTGTCTAATACTCCATTTTGTGAATTACCACCATTTCTCTGTCCACTCATCTATTGATTGGCATTGGCTGGTCCGTTTCTTTACTATTGTGGATGATGCCACAATAAATATGGGTGTGTAAACCTCTGTTTGTGTAACTGCTCTGATTTATTTAGAGTATATTCCCATAATGGAATAGTTGGATCGTATGCTATTTTTACTTTTAACAATATTGAAGAAGCATCGCACTGCCTTCCATAATGGTTGAACCATTTAACCTTCCCAGGAGCTGTGCATGGGAGTTCCAATCTCTCCACATCCTTATCAAAATTTGTTGTTTGCTGTCCTGTTAAACTTTGTAGTTGTTGGGGTGAGATGATGCCTCATGGCTATTTTGACTTTCAACTATTATATATAGAAATTACCATCTTTTTCCTGTGCTTGTTGCTCATCTGAGTATCTTCTTTGGTGAAGAGTCTTCCATATTTCTGGTTGTTGTTGTTGTTGTTTTGTGCCATTGAGTCATTTGTGACTTATAGCTACCCTATGTACAAGAGCCCTAAACCCGCTCTATCCTGTGCCAATCTCACTGTCTCTGACACACCAACTCCCCTTACCTCAATCACTGAATCGATCCATCTCATCAAGGATCTTCCTCTCCTGCACTGTCCCTCTACCCGCCCAGGCATGATGTCCCTCTCCAAGGACTGGTCCCTGCTTGCAACATGCCCAGAGTATGCCAGACGAAGCTTCAGAATCCTTGCCTCCAAGAAGCAGCCCAGTTTCACCCTCTTCATGGTAAGAAAATTCCCTGCAATTCCAAAGGCACATAATTCAAGTCCATCAGCTTCCCCTTGAAAGAAAGATGAGCGGTCTTCTTCCATGTGTTTTCTAGCCTCTGAAAACCCCATGAAGGATCATCTAAGGGTCTGTGTTGATTCAATGGCACACAACAATAATAATTCATTTCTTAAAGTTATATCTATTTTTAATTGTGATTTTAACGAAAGTTGACACAAAAGTTGGATTTTTATTAATTCGTTGTTGCACATTTCCCTTCCTACTCCTCTCTTTTTCTTCCCCCAGCTCACTTTAGGTTTGTTTGGGAGCTTTCAGATATTCATTCATTGTTGCACAGTTTCCTCCATGCTTTTCCCTCCCCCCTTTCCCAGTCTATCTGCAATGCACTCTTTACTCTGGACTGTAATCACATATATAATGCCTGATCATATATTCCTTCTAAAACAGTCCTTTCTTTCATCTCTTCCAGTGCAGTGTTCATTAGCTATCCACTCTTTTCCTCGTTTCCCCCTAAAACTAATGTCAGTCCTGCTTTAGAGCCGTGGTGTTATGCACCATCTCACTCCAGTAACAACAGCAAAGTTCAACAAAGTAGCAAACAACAAATGCTGGCAAGGTTGTGGAGAGATTGGAACCCTTCACTGCTGGTGAAAGTGTAAAATGATGCAACCACCATGGGAGGCAGTCTGGTGTTTTCTCAAAAAGTTGGAAATAGAACTACCATTTGACCCAGCAATTCCACTCCTAGGAATATACCCTAAAGAAACCAGAGCCATGATTCAAACAGATGTATGCCCACCCATGTTTATGACTATATTATTCACAATAGGAAAGAGATGGGAGTGACCCAAAAGTCCATCAGTAATCGAATGGATATAAAAGCCATGGTATATTCACACAATGGAATACTATGCAGCACTGAAAAACAATGAACTTCTAAAACATTATGCAACATGAGTGACCCTGGAGGACATTATGCTGAGAGAAATATCTCAGTCACAAAAGAACAAATAATGCATTTTTTAAATTAGATTGTTTATATTTTTCTTATTTAGTTACTGGAATATTCAGTGAGATTTTGTTTGTGTGATGAATCATACTAATTAATAGCATCTATAATTTCCTCCATATACTAGTGTACTTATCATGTCATGGTTTTTATACATGACTCACACCATATCTTGTTGAATATCATTAATAGTAGTAACAGTAATAATAGTAGCTAAAACTATTGAGTACTTGATATAATACAAATTATTGCATTTATCCACCTTAAAATGAAAACTTATTTCCATCTGAAGAAAAAGAGTCATTTCATAAACACCATCTACTCATTGCTATAGTGTAAACTCTGGCTCATTGCTGAACTCCAACAGGTTTTGGAAGGTGAAAAGTACAGAAAATTGCCCACATTTTTCCCTCAGAGCCAATGATGAATTTTAAAAGAGAGCCATCACATTTGCTTTAGCACCAGAGAGCTACAATATAGCAAGGAATAAGAACACTTGCAAGGCAAGATAAGTAAATAAAAGGGTCCGTCAGGTATAGTGTAAAACGTCCTCCCAATTCTGTTATACTGCAAGCAAAGTGAAAGGTGCTTCAAAGTCATTATAAAGTTCCCTGTAACAGCCACAGTCATACGAGACTATCTAGTATCTTTCCATGTCACTTTCAGGTAAATGACCACATTTCCCCCTCCTCTGCTCAGATTTAGGGCACCTTCTTATACACAGGCTCCTTCCCTAACCAGGAAAGTGGCACGTGTGAGCAAAAGACTTTAACACACTTCAATTTTCTTGGTAGTGTTCAAGTATCATTATCTTATGCTTTCTCTTCTTGGAATAGGCGCCTCACTTGATGGTTCTCCAACAACACTGATGGAGAACAAGTCAGAGGTGACGGAATTCATTCTTGTAGGATTAACAGATGTCCCAGCGCTGAGAGTCCCTTTACTGCTGATCTTTATCCTCATTTACTTTGTCACTGTGGTTGGGAACCTCGGGATGATCGTCATAATTGCTTTAGACCCTCATCTCCACACGCCCATGTACTTTTTCCTCAGTCACCTCTCCTTGGCTGACTTTGTTTACGCTTCATCTGTCACTCCCAAGGTGATAGCAAGTTTCCTCACGGGAAACAAGATCATCTCCTACAATGACTGTGCCGCCCAGATGTTCTTCTTTATAGCCTTGGACATTAGTGAAAATTACCTTCTGGCCGCAATGGCCTTTGATCGCTACGCAGCAGTGTGTAAACCCCTGCATTATACCACCATCATGACAAGCACTGTGTGTAACCTCCTGGCCATTAGTTCCTACGTCTGTGGATTTGCCAAGTCTTCCGTACACGTCGCCCTCACTTTCCGGCTCTCTTTTTGCCGTTCCAACATGGTAAATCACTTTTTCTGTGATATTCCCCCAGTACTGGCTCTCTCTTGCTCTGATATCCATACTAATGAGATTGTGCTCTTCATCTTAGCCGCTACGGATGTTGGTTTTGCTCTCCTTGTTGTCTTAAACTCTTACCTGTTGATTTTTGTGGCTATCCTGAGAATGCGTTCAGCTGAGGGGCGAAAGAAGGCCTATTCGACCTGTGCTTCCCACCTTGTCACGGTGTCCATGTTCTACGGGACAGTCATCTTCATGTATCTGCAGCCCAACTCCAACCACTCCATGAGCACAGACAAAATAGCATCCGTGTTCTACACCATGATTATCCCCATGCTGAACCCTCTGGTCTACAGCCTGAGGAACAAGAAGGTGAAAAGTGCCTTCAAGAAGGTTGCTGAGAGAGTCAAGTCTTCACTTGGGTTAGCCTCTTAGTTGAAGCTGCATGTGAATGGTGTAAAGCTTCTACTGAGACTCCGTCTTGCTGCTTTGAAGACTGTTTTGTCTAATGGTGGTCTTATGTGTTTTGCAGTAAAACATAATTCTATAGGTTACTTAAATATGTAGACTTATAAATTATACATATATCTCTCTTCTATGGCATCAATGTGTGGCTTCAAGTTGCAAAGTTTTCCATGTATAGGTGAGGAACCCCTATTTACACCCTTAAGGAACGTCATTTACTTGTGATTGTATGAGAATTTTTTAAAAACCAGGTTCTTTCACATCAAATCGATTTTGCTCATGCTTTGAGGATGCAACCATGTTGAAGGGAGATTTGGAAGTCTTCTCCCCCAAATGGGATAATTCTATCTTAATATAAAGATTATTATGCTAGGTATTATAGGCTCACACACTGCATAACTCTGCTGGTCTAAAGTGCTTTGTAGGTAAACTTCATCAGGGTAAGTCTCCAGAGTTCCATTTGCAAATTTCAGAAATCAAAGAACCCAGTGAGGTTCATAGAGCAACCAAGCGAGGCTTCTCAGACATTAGCACTCCACAGAATCATGCTAAGGTCCTACTGAAGTGCACCTCCCTACAGTCTAATTGCGGATCATCTGATTTACTACATCAGTCAAGAAAGCCAGGCATCTGTAGAATTACCCCCTTCTATCCACATCTGGTGGAGCTTCCCAATTAAAACAAGCTTAGAAAGAGGAGTGGCATTCACTTCTGAAATGGCTTGCCTCTGGAAACTTTATGAACAGTGCTCAGGTCTTTCATTCATAGGGTCACTATGAGTTGTCTACGACTCCACGGCACTTAACAACAATAACAACAACATAGAGAGAGCTACGTTGGCCTAATGGACAGAAAGTTATGCTAACAAGTCCAAGGTGGGTGATTTTAGTCTGCAGAACTCAGGCCTGGCTCAAACATTCTTCTACGAGGTATAGTACTGGTCTGCACATTGCTGTACAGAGGTAACTCGTGGTTGCTGTGATGCTAAACACTGTGACACTGATGTGCCAAATGTGATAATGGTTACCCATGGTGGACAGTGTTTGATGGAGCTTCCTGATTAAAACAAGGTTGGAAGTAGGAGTGGCATCCACTTAGGAAATGGCTTGCCTCCGGAAACTCTTTGAACAGTGCTCAGATCTTTAACTCATAGGGTCACTATGATTGTTTATGACTCAACGTCATATAACAACAACAGTAACAATCAACAAATAGCTAGATCCTGAATGTCTATTGTAAGAAATCCAATGTTGAATTTGGATCATGAGGAATATCATGTTACATAAGTATATTTTAGTTCCTGAATTTCAGATCTCAAAAATCCAGGCACTTCACCTATCCCCAAATACATGCACATCTATTCCTTCCCTGGGTGACCCTCACAGTTAAGTGTTCAGCTGCTATCCTGACTCACAGCTCAACGTGTGCATTACAGAAAAGGGCTGGAGTCCTAGGATCATCATGACTGTGGCCTTTCAGAAACAGACCCTCAAACCTGTCTCCCAAGGCACCTCAGGGTGAATCTGAACTGCCAATCTTTTAGTAAATAATCTAGTGCTTAAATGTTTGCCCCACATACAGAGTCAATGCATAAACTCAAACTCATTGTTGTTGAGTTGGAATCAACTCACAGTTGACCATCCAATGGCTTTCCGAGGTTGTAAATGACATGGAAGGAGACTGCCCAACTTTCTCCCAAAGAGCTGCTGGTATATTTGAACTGTCAAAGAGGCAAAGCCTTTGGGTTAGCAGCACAAGTAGCTCTTAAAATATTTGCCTGTGTGACATTTTTCTCCATTCCAACACTAACTCTTAGAGAGACACCCATACAGAGAAGAAGAAATAGTTAAGAAATCGCTTAGAGAGAAGCTGACAGAAGCAGAATTTGAACTCAGTTTTTTTTTAATTATGAACACATCCTTTCCAATTTACTTATCTAACAATGATTGAACATCTACAGCACATTTTAGCAACCATAAGTAATACTAATAAGAGAAAATATATACTTTCTCAAAAATCACTAACCTTCTAAACACATCAATATTACCTTGGTAATTAAAGCACTGTTGTTGTTGTTGTTGTTGTTGTTGTTGTTATTGTTGTTGTGCACTGTCAAGTTGGAACCGATGCATAGCTGACCCTCTAGCAGGTTTTGAAAAGCAGTTAATCACATGGGAGGAGATTGTCCATCCTTCTCTAGCAAAGCAGCTCATGGAGTTGAACCATGTGTCTTTGGGATTGCAGCACAGTTTCTTATTACTAGGCCACTAGAAAGACTTTAAGAAAGGTCAGAAAATCTAAGTGACACTGACTCATATTTTCCTTGAGCCATCTCAATCCCTTCAACGTTTATAATCTGAAGGTACCCCATCTTCCTAACCTTTTATCGCAGCTCTAACAAAGAGTATATTTTAAAACTGTAGTTTCTGAGGTTGTTACAGGAATAAGGGTCAGATTGGACCATGGGTTCCGTCCATGTGTTTCCACTGCTTTCATGAAGCCATAATTTTCTGGAAACATTTGTTTTGTTTTCTTGAGTCCTTGTGCTACATAATGAGAGTCTTCACTGGGCTAAGAAAACCGAGATGGGAAATTTGTACATGTCAATGAACATCCACATTTTTAAAAGCAGGGGACCATCAACCTTAAAATCTGAGGTGCTCACGATCACCAAATACCCAATGTCCCATCCTTCACTGAGAAGAAATAAAAAGGGCATAAAGAAGATGAATGTGAGCCCTGACAGCCTTTCTGCTCTGGCCTTTTCAGCCTTGATGGGTCATTGTGGGTTGTATGTCTCATAAAGGTGAGTAGCTCACATAGCAGCAAGGTCATTTAATCACACATTTGATGAGCTCTAAAATCCTGTCTGAAGGACTTCTGATGTGTTGCGTATTAATGCTGCTAATCAGAAGGTCAGCGGTTTGAGTCCACCAACTGTTCTGTTGGAGAAAGATAACCAACCTCCTCCCATAAACATTCAGAATCTCAGAAAATCTACAGAAAGTCACTGTGAATCAGAATCAACACTGCCGCAGTAGGCACATCATGGTGGCACAGTGACTTAATGTTAGGATGCTAACTTAATTGGTGGACTAAGTTACAAGCCTCTTTGCAGGAGAAGAATGAGGCAATCTGTTGCCTTAGTTATACAGCCTTGGAAACCCAATGGGGACAGCAGTGTAGGAACTTCCCTTTTTCTGTAACACTCTTTCTTTTGGACAGCAGTAGAATTATGGGACAATTTATACCTACAGTGTCAAATACCCTTCTCTTACTTTTTAGTATACAATGGCTGATGATTTTACATAGTTACAAGTTTTTATCTGGATTATATTCTAGAAAAGAGCAGAGCAGAAAAATGAGCTTCTATTGTCCTCTAAACTACTGTTAATGACTTTGATGTTTAATAAGATAATAATCTTGAGATTAATAGTGAGACTACATCATTTCCTGTGTGTCAAAGAGACATAAAATAATACCCTTCAAAATGGTACATTACAAAGTAGACTGGCTGAGGGGGAAGTGAGGAGGGAGGAGGAAAATGTGAAACCATGAATGAATGAAAACTCAACCTCTCTGTACACTTTTGTGAAAAATCACAATTTAAAAAATATAAATTTTAAAAAAGCAATTAAAAATCCCAAAATGGTTTGTTCATCTAAACACATTAAAAAATATAAAGCCTAGATGTTATTTTTCTATGAAGTAGTTTGAAAGTTTGTTTCGTTTATTTGTTTTTGAGTGTTTTTCAAAGGAACTCCTAAAATGGCATTTAATAGAAACTGTAATATCCGGAAAATCCACTATCAATAGATTTGATTCTAGCAATCAGGAGAACAGGAGACATAATGCTCTGGGAAAGTCTGTCGTCAGGGACCTCTTCAAATTACTAAGGAACAATGATGTCGGTTTGAGGACTAAGGTGTACTTGATCCAGACCATGGTCTTTACAATCACTTGGTATACTATTGAGAGCTTGAAAAGGAATACGTATGACAGAAGAAAAAATGATGTCTTTGAACTGTGGTGTTGGAGAAGAGTACTGACTATCCAATGGACTTCCAAAAGAACAAGCAGGTATGTCGTGGAGAAGGTGCCAGAGTGTTTGCTGGAGACAAGGATGGTGAGGCTTTATGTTACATACTTTAGGCATGTTGCTAAGAAAGACTATTCCCTGAAAAAGAACATCATGCTTGGAAAGACCAGGGGAGAGTGAAAGAAAGGAAGACCTTCAACCAGGTGGGCTGACACAGTGAGTACAGGGACGTGCTCAAGTGTATTAGAGATAGTGAAGTTGGCACGGGATAGGACAGGATATAAATCTGTGAAAATCACTGAAGGGTCAGCTGTTAGTTTGTTCTGACTCAATGGGAGTGAGTTTGAGTTTGAGATCATGGAAGAAAAGTCTTACCTTGCAGTCTATTTTCTCTAAATATTAAATCAAGAAAGCCCCAGCAACAATAGCAAAGTTCAACAGGACAGCTAACAACAAAAGCTGGTGAGGTTGTGGAGCAATTGGAACACTGATTCACTGCTGGTCAGAATGCAAAATGTTGCAGCCAATATATAGAAGGTGCTCTGGGGCTTTCTCAAAAAGTTGGAAATAGAATTACCACTAGATCCAGCAATTCCATTACTGGGAATATACCCTGAAGAAACCATAACCTTGACCAAAATGGCAGAAAATTCCTGAATGCGAGAGGGACAAAAGCAGCTAAACAGAAGAGATGGAACAGAAAGCCAGTGAGCTAGAAGACAAGAACTTTAATGGGAGCATACTGGAAGAAGAAAGAGAGGAGATGGAAGGAAGATAAATAAAACAGTGGAATCATGGGGGTGGCACAAAAAGGAACAGTATACTTATAATTGGAATCCCAGAACCCTGTTGTCGGGAGCAGGAAAAGCACTCAGAAACTTGTGGCAGATGTCCTAAAAGAAAACTTTCCAGGAATTATGAAGAACTAAGA